CCGGACGGGTGAAGATCGGGGTTAGAATTGATCGTCAGCAACCCATGATTGTCGTAAGAAGCGAGTGACGGGATCGGGTGGTCGGGCTTGCTTACTTGGTTGACACATGTCATCGTATCCCAGGTGCGTAGATCGATGCTCATGATGTTGATCCCTGGATTGTCTGGTGACAAGTGACATTTAGAAGCTGGTGTGATGAAGAGGAACAATTTTGTGGACAGAAAACTTCGCCGTCATGTAGTTGGAATACTGCTGAGAGCGACGTTAAACAACAAACATGCAAACCTGTGTAGACTCATAAATATTCTTTAAATAAGAGTCCTACAAAGCAGTGCAGCAATATTTAAAGGGCATACATGGACAGAAATGGATAACGTAGTGTTTTAAGATTGGTGGTGAAAGAATACTTGAATGATACTTTTATGCTAAGATTAGAAGTTCTCGTTCTCATATCGCCGGCCGTGACCAAACGGGAATACCTTCTGAAGTACCCAAGGCATTGATTATGTTGCAATTAGCTCGCCACGTATTGGTTACATTCATTGCCACGATATTGATGTTCCAAAATGTCTTTCTTTTCCTGTGCCCCAATACAAACTGTGAAGTAAACGATATGACAGAGGGAAGCTTTCCCCGAAGTATGAAATGGAATATGGAAGCATGTGTGGCGGGATGCCAAAAACTCTCTTTCGGATTGATTTCAGTGCTCCAACACCTGCGATTATCATGTTTTAGTAACTAGTTTTGATAACGGCACATGATGCCTTTCATCTGCAGTGGGAGTTATCATTTTGATAATAATTCGATCTTCTTTATTGTTTCAATTCTATTCTTTAATCACGAGCTTGATTCACAGCTTCTTTGAGACAGGAGTTAGTTACATCAACGCTAGATGTGATGACTCCGGGTAAGGTCGAAATTATGCAAGTCTAAGACATCTTCCACTCCAATGAAACTTACAAGCAAGGATGCGTTACTGACAAACCAATGGGAGTAATCAGGACGATCTGTGAATTCAAGCAACAGTCGTAGTTTTTTATCACTGCTAAGGGGCGCAACTCTGGGCATGAAGTTTGCGTCGCTCAATACACACGCTAAATTCTACAATAGAGGTATGGCCAAATAACGTATAAAAACGTATCAAGTTAACAGATGAAATCGGCATCGGGTGGTCAGTTTCTGTGATGTGGATGATTGTGTGTAGTCATTACTTGTATATTTGGCTTTGTGTTGCTTTGTCTTGGGTCAATTATAGAGTGCGGTCATATTTCTGATACGTTAACGCGATCAGATAGCGATCTGAGGTACAGATTGGGATCATATAGCGCCGTCATCGGGATCAGAAAGCCGTAGGTCCTTGAACAGATCTCAGCCTATCTCTCTTGATTAAGATGACAGTGAGTGGAGCGTATTGTAGTAAAATCACTCTCGAAATGTGAGCCCTCATTTATCGCAAACATTCTTAAAGTTTAACGAAAAGTTTAATAATGTAAAGATCCGCGTTTTCATCACTTCAAATTTTTTTTCTTAACTGCATGATGAGGATGAAAACAAAAATCAAGTTCTATAATCATAAAAAATCTCTACTGAAATCAGGGTTCACTGACGAGTTGGGGCTATCATAAGCATTGGTTTATACATCACGATGAAACAGAGATGATACCAAGCGTTCACGAAGACGTGTCTGTTCGCCATCTGTCTCGACGTTCTAAATACAAAGATGCTTGTCAGGTAGATGTTTTCGTCTTCATACATGAACACACATCTTGCGGTGGTCTCTTTTAAGAAGAGCATCCACTTCTCTGATGCCTTTTATATAACTAAATTGGTCCTCCAATGTCTACTTTTGCGAAGTTTCCAGCAAATAAATTTATCACCAGTCACTAACTGCCCATTTGAACTAAAACAGAAGCATAAATTACATTGCCTGCTAAGTGTTTTACTACATGTACGGGCTATATAATGACATTTAAATGTCAGCAGTCAAATCCTTCGTAAATCGGGAATGAAAGAAGAAACGATTAACCAGTAAACGTGAGGATGTGATGTTTCGAAAAAATCGATAAAGATAAGTAACTGAATTTATGGAACATGAACAATTTTATACACTTCAGATGCACCAGCATTTAACTGATACGTATAATGGCTGTTATTGTTCCAGTGCGTCGTATCGGTACGTATGCGTGTGCGAATTCTCCCTTCATGCATAATTGATAACACTATTCTTACGAGGTGACATCCAGCTTGAAACTCTAATCTTACCCCTGGAATGGCTTTATACAGAACTATAGAGTAAAATCAGTACACTTCAACAATAATATCAAAGAATAATACACACAGTTTAGTTTACATTCGAACTACAATATGTAAAATACGTGTAGGCAGCAATAGATTAACAGGCCCAACAATATAGGCCCATCCAATCACAATGGCCGTGCTTTTGAAACTGGAATGGTGTTGGAAACAGGCAGGAATTCGTTGTGCTAAGACAGGTTTACCGTACCAAGTCTGCAGTTGCTGAGTCCAGGTTTTCAGCTTGTAAATGCTATCAATCATCCTCGTCTCGCGCAGGTAGAGCAACACCCGGCTTTCTATAAATGTGTCCCATCACGAAACTTCTCTAACGATCACGCCGTCATGCCTCTGTCGAAAACCAGGGGAGATAACTCTGAATTACACTGCCTGGTACAATATTTTATGAGCGCCTCTTTCATTTGCTGCCACCGGCTATCACTACAGATAATCACTCTCCAGCTACACATCACAGTATACATATGTTCTGATTAACATTTGATAATGGTATACATATAAGCCTTTCTAGAACTGTTTCATTGATGTCAATTTAATGCATAAATATTTTGATATGTATATTCATTCTCTTAGCATATTGCCTGAGGAAAGCCAAACAAATGCAAGTCATAGGCGATTGCTGTTACCTACGAGCGCAAATACGTTGCTGATACACCTAGAAATATACCCAGTGCGCTTTGTGTACCTGTACACACAACAGTTGTGCGCTGGCACGCCTTGGGACGAAATTCCAAAACACAAACTGCTGTGCTTTGACAAATGGGACAATCGTGCATAAGTACGTGATACGTACGACCGTGTACATTGTGATGCGTCGTGCGTAAGAATATCTCCACGGTATTTCTGTATGTGCATTACTTGCCTGGGACAAATCCTATTAGCAGTTGTCATTATCAGTATTACATTTTGTACATTGCCATATGTGTATGTTATAAAACAAACCTGTGGAAATCCGGGTTAGAATTGGTCTTCAGTAACCCATACTTGTCGTAACGGGATCGGGTAGTCAGTCTCGCTGACTTGGTTGAAACATGCCATCGTATCCCAAGTGTGTAGATCGATGCTCATGTTCTTGATCACTGGAATGTTTGGTCCTGACTCGATTGTTTACAGACCGCCGCCATAGCTGGAGTATTGCTGAGTACGGCGTTAAACAACAAACCAAAACCAGCGTTATAAAACATATGATACAGTTACGTATTACGGAATGAAAATCATGTAGGATATACGTTATCGCGTTATTTTGAACCTCAGGAGTTGCCAAACTGATTGAAAAACATCCCTCAGCCAATCTGACCGACTCGTCAACCAACATAAACTGGTGAAGGTTGAAAGAAATATTAACCAAGATATTAATTTAAAAGCAATTCCAGGTAACAGAAACTTCAACATAACAAAATAAATAAAGCAACCGATAATAAACCCTGATAAATCAACGCAGGTTCTTTGGCCCATTTCTATAACGCTAGTCTGTTGATAATCATCCCCGTCTCTCCACAGATTGTACAGATATTTACGCTTTGTATGACGGAAGCTATGAACAAATTAGTTCCTGCTCATTAGCAACTGAGAATTACACGCAATATAGTCCCAAAATACCTTAGCATTGGCGCGACGTAGATTGATGTAAACGAGCATGGGCTATCTAACCAGGTATTCGTCTCGTTATAAAACCAATGAAATGTCAGAGGTGTTGGAAAATATGACAGGTTTCTGTTGTCGTGATGCATTAGTTAAAAAGATCACTCTTGTAAATGTTATGCATGGTTTTAACATTTAACACCTCCATGTTATGTATGTGGGTGTCCGGATTTCTTACTTTGTGAAAGTGATATTTGAATTTTATGAGGCGGTGTTGAGAATTTCTGAATGTTAAGAGGTCCAACAAAATGAATCGGTTTGACATTTACATTAGTAGTTTTGTTATATTTTCTGTGTTAAAAAATTAACTGGAACTATTTCGCTAAACTTTCCATCACCAAAACGGTGTTGCGCTGAATTTTTAATAAGTCATTTCCCCTGGGTAATCTAAAAAATAGGTATCAGTCTAATAATATCATGTACACTGTGACTACACCAGATCTAGCAACTTGAGGTTTTGTTACATTCAAAAACATTACGCTCCTGAGAGTTTATCGTCAGCTTTGCGATCGCACGTTTGTAAATAATTCATCCGCCCTTTTCGTCAGTACCATATTTGATCTATTCGTGTTGTATGGTCTCCAGGGAAAGGGTAATTGTGATGTTTCTCTTGGACGAGATTCGTGAGTGGGCATTTCTCAAAACAAATTCACACTATTCCGTGCTACAGAGGCAGTGCTAAGGGAGAGATGCTACACCTTCACCTCTCCCCGATACATCTCCATTACAGTGTTCCAAGCCTCATCCCATTCTACAATCACCGCTTCCTTAGAAGCATGATATGAAGATGTTGGGGGAACATTGTACCAATATGCCTACAAGTGGACTATTGTGTTGTATGCTATTGTCAACAGTTATGTCAACGGTAATATAAACCTACCAACGTACATTCGGCTGTGATATCTATAATATATGTGTTATGCTTCCACAAGTCAATAGATGCTGTAAAATGTATGTATGCAAAGGTGACAGAATCTATAATATAGCTTATAACGCATACGGCTATGAGGGGGATATACACAAAGAGTGTTGACAACAGCAGGGATGGTAATGCATTTCTGTCATGTACTTATGATTAACTGACAGCATGTCGTAATAACCTTCCAAGAAGACTTCCATCCTCATCACCTTAATATAATTAGCTGAAAACCTTCCGATACCCCGCCAACCACAGAGGTTGTGATAGCGTAATTAGCTAAGAATCGGATCGTACTCTTTGTTTGTGGAGGACTGAAAACGCTCAAAGCCCGCTGAGTTACGAAGCTGGGAAGTTGAAGCTGACGATGACACCACCGTTTGTTTTCATACGGTGCACTGATTGCACGGCTAGGTACTTGAACGAAAACCTGGCGATATTATTGATGGTTTCTCAACGGCGGCCGTGTATGTACGTGAATTCTTAATGGAACATTGTCACACATGTCAGCCGAGAGATGGGAGGATGGGAACATGCGCATTGCGAGTCCTGTACCTTACCACTTACCATTGATCTTTGGAAAAGTTATACCTATTGTGGACAACCCGCGGTTTGTGTAGAGCTAGCTTGCATAGCACTGGAGCAATTAGCCATTCATGCAACAGTGTAGCTAACGAGTGACGGCGAACAACCAGAAACATGTCGATGCTGGGCCGGACTGGAACACTTGTTAGAAAACACCGTAGACGATCCAGCTGCGGGTTGCTCAAACCCCCCGAGATTTCAAGACGGGGGTCGGCACCAACGGTTCTTGTGCAGACTCCCCCGACATTCCTCACAGTGCCAGCTGGTGGGCAAGGGGGACTACACCCAAATCAATCTCGATCCCCATGCAAGAGTGTATCGTTTACGTTAGACGCTAGGAGATTCAGCGAGGTTTACCCACGAAAGGTGTCTTTTTCTAAGGTAAGTCAATGCAAATTGTATCCCCCAGAAATCAATTTTTTCTGTTGTGAATCAGCAGTCCTTCAAGCTGAGCGCAATATAAAATGATTGATGCTGAAACTTAAAAGGTACTGCGTCCCAAGTAAGTCAATAGATCCATAACGTCCGATTGCATCCATGTTCTTTCATGTGCTTTATATTGGTATGTCTCTTATAGATTGGCGGCGGAAATGGAAATACTGAATGTTTACACTGCCGTTGAGAAAAATATTCCGTGATCATATGTCTTCTTTGTGTAACTGTTCAGATGACGCATATTCCCTTCATGATAGTTGTCACGTTTTTTGTGTGAAAATATTCAATTTGATGGAAATGTGAAAAGTAATTGCATACATTTTCGGCTCTTTGTACAAGTGAAAGATGATTGATGTTTTGACAATCGAGAATACTTCTTGTGTTAAGCAGAACGTGTCAATTTTAAAGCAGGTTCTAGTACATGTACAACATACATTGTTGGGGCTGTTGTAATGGCCTCATCATCACCGTTATGGGCCCATGTCTCAAGAAACGACTATTAGGCTTAATATTCAAGCGTCCAACTACAGATGACATACCTTAGACATCGAGTATTTCTGCTCTTATGTTATCCATGACACTTTTGGCATGTGATTGGGGTACCAAAGAGACATATATCTTCATTAGGTATGCCGTATTCTCAATATTGTGTATTGTGGCTACCATGTATAAATCAAAGATTATGTGTCTCATTTTCTGGTGTAATTTCTGATAACTTCACTGGAATCTATGTGGTTCAGAGAGGGAGGAAGAAATGGGCTGTCCTAATGGTTAGATTTTTTCTTCACTCAAAAGGCACGGGTTCGAATACCAACATTGGTAAATGAGTGACGACAAATTGATTTGACAAAATGTTTTGCGGCTGGTTTCTATCACTTTCCATCTTTAACATCGCCTTTGACTCTCCTAATGTTCCATTGACCCTCTTCAGATTTTATGTTTTAGAAATATCGGTCTTTCTAAGCATAGGAACAATTCTACATGGTAAAAGAGGTATGAATTCAAAGGAAACGCTTTGGTAATATATGTTACCCCACTCCTTGACAATGAATAGAAAGGGCAGACTGTCTCAATCTTAAAACCGAAATATATGTTAGCTGTTTTGCATACATACTTATATAGTGGCTAAAGCGTTCTCTGGTCAAGCCGAGGAACCAGGTTTCGGGTGGCCCCCGTCGTGATAGTGCTGAAACATTGCTAAAAGCGGCGTAAAAACATACTCACTCACTCATTAATGTGGACGCTTCCCTCAGAGTGAAATCGTTCACGGTACTAAATATCGCGATGAAGGAACCATTGATCCTGTCACTGCGGTGTGTCATTTTGTATCCATGTTAGCGTTTATCCCCAGAAACGTGGGATGTCTGGATTAAGGTTGTCCAGACAAGCGAGGTTCCACTCTATGTATGACACTGACATAAGCACATGAGAAGGATGTTTCATTTTGTTGCAGTACAATATCACAAAAATTTATTTCCAATATCCTGTCTTGTCAATATCTCGGGTTAGCCCCGAAGCCTCAAAATGAAGGATTATGTTCCAAAGTTTATCAACACGGTGGTTCCTACCAGCAGACCTTGGAACCTATTGATCCTCTCAATATGCGTTGACCTTTCTTGGGGTAAGCCTGCTACATAGCATCGACTTATTAATTAAGTAAAGGCTCCACTTCAACCACGTGGTACGTGTTCCATCAGTTTCCTCATGACATGGAACCATCTGGCTGCACGGCAACGTCCATTCCCTGCATGACATACCGGTGTAGGTTACAGATCACAGGCATTGTGTCTCCAAGCAATGATTTCACAAAGACAAAGAGGGGTATTATGCTTACCCCATGCAGGTCCAGACCAATGTCGTGACAGCATGGTATATTCGGTACTGGGGTCTGTATATGCAGTCGCAATGTTCCAATGGGTTTTGACCATATGGGATTGCGTGTGGGGTGTATTTTAGTGGATAGTCACGGGGTGGCTTTGGTGTCTAGGTATGAGGTCCAAGCAAATAGGTGCAGGTTGTATTGTATGAGGACCCAGGGTATGTCTTAATGCATAAAGCATGTGTGTAAAACTATTGGTGCATGAGATCACTGATTAGAACATTGCCATTCTATGACAGGGACATTCCACGTATTATTGCAATGGTTATTTACCATTGGTGGTTCTGGGACATATTTCTTCGGTTGATACAACTACTTTTATTTATTGTCAGCGCTACAACCACCAATATTCCACGTCTGTAACAGAAGCAAGTACAGCATCGACTCCAGTCCTAACAAACAAGGGATTGATAGTATGAGTAATTATACGTAATGTTTTAGTACGATACACAATGTCTGGTTATGAAGATACGAGATCAGCCAAGTCACGGAGTCTGTAAACGAATATGATGTGAACCCAACTAACAAGACTGACTGACTGACTGACTTTGGTTTTACGCCGCTTTTAGCAATATTCCAGCAACATCACGGCGGGGGACACCAGAAATGGGCATCACACATTGTGCCCATGTGGGGATTCGAACCCGGGTCTTCGGCGTGACGAGCCAACGCTTTAACCATTAGGCTACCCCACCGCCCCTCACGGAATCTGACCGGTATGTCCATACCTGCGCCCAGTGCAACACTTTGTACACTTAATGCTTCCTGGATTACCCTAGTTCTTCACGACGGCACATGTGCTTGGATCAAGTGGCCTCGAAGTTCCATGTCGACTGAGGTGCCGCAATTTGTTCTGCAGGGTTGCATCCCTCGGTCACGCCAGAAACCTATGACTGTGGATTAATTTTTAGTTCCCCCGACTATGTTTCTGGTATTATGAGCACTCTAACTGTGCTTATTGGTTTCACCAGAATCATAAACGGCTGAGATCTGAATTGCATCAGGTTTTCCTTACATATAAAGCTCACATGAGGCTATATAACTGTTCAATACTGTTGAAAGCGGTGTTTAATTCACCCATTCTATTCCGTACCGTAATCGAATATGGAGTGCGGTTTTGTATGAATTTATTCTTGAAAACCAAACAGACCCTCAAGACACTGTGGATAGTATCAGGTGTCCTAGAGACAGACAACTATTGAATGAACCAAGGAGAGTTCACAGCGATAATACCAGCGCCATCCCATGTTGACGTCATACTGAGTGAGTTGAGTGTATCCCGTTGTAACAGTCTTCTCTTCAGTTTTCATCGGTTCCCAATTGCGTAGATCGATACTCATGCTGTTGATCACTGGACTGTCTGGTCCAGACTCGATTATTTACAGACCGCCGCCATATAGCTGGAATATTGCTGAGTGCGGTGTAAAATTTAACTCACTCACCCATTCACCATTCAGTTTTGCCATGACGTACACACTAGATTGAAAGGAAACCCCAAAGTAATGAATGTCTTAGATGTGCACCGCTTGAGGAAACCCACAAGCAGGTGCATAAAACATTAACCATGTCGATCTGGGAATTCGAACCTACAATCGTAGGATTCCAGCACACCCGAAGACCCCATGTGTTCACATCCAATAAGCTAGTGGTGCTCCCTAAATGGCTCATGTGTCCATAATATTACTACTTATCGACTGAACCTACATACAACTGACTTGGTTGTGTAATGGAAGACAGTTTGTTTTCCACATGCTTTTTGTCTGGTACTATTTTCGCAAGTCGACGACTAATGTCAAAAGGTCAGCCTTTATCATTCCACCTTCTTTGTTCTGGGTCTCTCCAAAATACGAACACTGAAAGCAACACGATGCAATCTGGTAACGCATGTGCTGTCTGGATTTCTATCATGTAATGTACCACATGTACAGACATGTTCGGGGATGTTGCCTCTATCATTTTGTGTGGGTGATTTTGCTTGTGCTGACATACGACATTTAAGCCAGGCAAGGTTTTGTTAGAAAAGTAGTCATAAATGAGAAGGGAGTGATTGGATTCTACCATCAGTAGATGCATGTCATTGATCAAACACAATGCGCCCATTCCGTCGAAAGGGTAAACACTACAAAAATGTTCCAGAAGTGGCCTTCGTGGACGACCAAAGTAATTTGTTTGAGGATGAACTGTAACTTGTGGAGCGGGTTCTGTGAATATGATCAGTGACTATAGTAATGGTTCTCAACCAACCAAAGAAGGAAAGAGACCTTCATCCAACCCTGACGCACAATCCCAAACGGGGCGATGGGGGTAGCCTAGTGGTTAAAGCGTCCGCTCGTCACACTGAAGACCTGGGTTCGATTCCCCACATGAGTACAATGTTTGAAGCCCATTTCTGGTGTCCCCACCGTGATATTGCAGGAATATTGCTTAAGGCGGCGTAAAACCATACTCACTCACTCACACCCCCAATTACATCCGGTCTCTCACACAAACACGAATACATATGTAAAGCAGCAGCAACGACAGTGGTGGTAGTAGTAGTGGTACTAGTGGTAGTAGTAGTAGTAGTAGTAGTAGTAGTACATGCAGGCCAGCCATTCCTGACAAGTACCTATATGCTGTGGCGCTCAAAAGCTGAGGATTGAGTTTACACGAGCTTATTGAGTTGCACGAAATTGGTGATTAACAAATATTACAGTCGATTTAAGTCAGCAATGCACACAGTGACACTTTTAGGAATTAAATGTTTGACTGAAGAACTGGTCCTCAACCCCCATGTACAGCTCACGGTGTAGTGGGCAGGGTGTATGTCCGGAGACCAAAGAGGTCGGTGGTCCGACATTCCGGCCGTGTCATACCGACTGACTGACTGAGTTTGGTTTTACGCCGCTTTTAGCAATATTCCAGCAACATCACGGCGGGGGACACCAGAAATGGGCTTCACACATTGTACCCATGTGGGGATTCGAACCCGGGTCTTCGGCGTGACGAGCCAACGCTTTAACCATTCGGCTACCCCACCGCCCCTCCGTGTCATACCGAAAACATGTATCTAAATAAAAGAAGGTTC